GTACGCGGGCCTCTCACTGCTGTGGCCTCTCCCATTGCGGAGCACAGGCTCCGGACGCGCAGGCTCAGCGGCCATGGCTCACGGGCCCAGCCGCTCCGCGGCACGTGGGATCTTCCCGGACCGGGGCACGAACCCGCGTCCCCTGCATCAGCAGGCGGACTCTTGACCACTGCACCACCAGGGAAGCCCTGAGGTGCCTTTAGATACCCAAGTGGGATCTCAAAAACGCAACTGGATCTGGGGCATCCAGGAGCCCTGTTTCCTTCTCTTCTAAGGGGCTTTCTTGTCTTCCTTACAGAATCATCCGGACCAAAGTGCAGCAACCATTCAACCTTCCCATGGACGGCTGCGTGGCCACCAAGTCCCTGAGCCCAGGACACACGCTGAGTGAGTACCGAGGGTCCCGCAGGCACACCCAGCCCCTTGCACACACACACCCATCTGCGTACACACCCAGAGTCACACACAAACACGTCCACACAGACACACCCAGGTGTGTAGACTGAGCTCTTCCGTTGGGACACAGACTTGCTCCGAAATATTCAGGGGTGGAACCACCTCAGGCAAGAACCCTGGCACCAGCGGTGCCACTGACCCCTCCACGGTGGCAGCAGGGGCTCTGAGGGGTGTCAGTTTCACGTCCTGACCCTCCGTCTCGCCCCACTGCAGTCCCCAGCTCAGCCGTGACGCCCCCAGAGTCTCCCCAGTCCGATTCTCTGGGTTCAACCTACTCCATCAACGGGCTCCTGGGGATCGCACAGCCTGGCAGCGACAGCAAGAGGAAGCTGGATGACAGTGAGTGTTGTGGGAACCAGAGGGCAGGCTGGGGGCGCAGGAGGGCAGTTTGCTGAGGCTCTGATGGGACACAAGCCCCCTGAGGCCCAGGGCTTTCGGGCCTGTCTCTAAGCCACCCTGAGGCCCGGGAGCCTGGTCCTTTCCCTCCCCTGAAGCAAGTCTGCTCCCCAGCTCGGGCCTGGGGAATGGGTGGACGGGCCCCTGAAAGCTTTCTCCCTGCCTGGGGACACCCTCCAGGTGACCAGGACAGCTGTCGGCTGAGCCTTGACTCCCAGAGCAGCGGCAGCGGGCCCCGCAAGCACCTTCGCACGGACGCCTTCAGCCAGCACCACCTTGAGCCTCTTGAGTGCCCCTTTGATCGGCAGCAGTACCCAGAGGCCTATGTCTCCCCGAGCCACACCAAAGGTCCTTGGATTGACTGAATGTTGTCTGGACACTTGGTCTCTGGGCATCTGGGATGGTGTCCCCCGTGTCCTGCAGTTGCCTGTGGCATTGAGGTCTCTGCACTCCTCCCCCACTGCTGCTTCCTGACCCCAGGCATTTGCCACCATTCAGACCACTCAGTATTTCTAAATGAATGAATGAGCATCTCAGGGTTAACATCACCTCTTCTCTCTCCTTCCAAACCTATCTTTTCCACCTTGTTCCTGTTCCATCACAAATCACCTAGATGGTAAGTGGAGGGAGAGGAAGGTGGTGGTGGGGAGTATGAGGGTGGGGGGGGGGGGGGGAAGGCACGGGCTCTGAAAGCTCCCTAATCAGCCTGCGGCTCTGGAAGCAGCTAGGAGTTGCTTGATGGGCTCAGGCGCGCCCTTCCTGCAGCTCCAAGGCCGTCACAGGCTTTGTTTCACCAGACGCTGGCTTCTTCCTCTTCATCCTCCCGGCTCTGTTGCCTTCCCTCAGCCACAGCCTCTGAGCTTAGGGCAATGCAGCCAACCATGCCATGCCCCTGCCGCGGTGACTTCCCTAGACGGCGGGGTCAGGTCCCACGCAACAAAGCCGCAGCTCCGGCCTCTACAGCGTGACCTCTTACCAGCAGCTCCAGCCCCGCCTCGGGCCACTCACGCCTGCCCACCCCGTGAGCCTTGTTCACACCCCTCTGCCCCAGCACACGGTGTGCCCTCCTCGCAGAATGCCTTTCCTCCCACTTCTCTGCCTGGAAAAATACCACTCAGCCATTATGACTCAGCTCAAGCATCACCTGGTCCATGAATCCTTCCTCGCTCCTCAGACACGCTTCATCTCGCCCGCACCCCTGCTTCTGCACGTCCGGGTGGCTGCCCCCCCAGGACTCACGGGGTAGTGTAATTGCCTAGCGGACAGAGATGTGAAGACACAGCAGGCTTCTTAAGGACAGGGCGGCATCTCAAAACATCTTCTTTTTTCTCCAGCACCTAACATTGTGCCCCTCTTATAACAGATGCTCAATAAAGGCAGGTTGAGTGAATGAATGCCTTGAGAAATCCAGAGCAATAAACTACAAACTACAAGGGAAGTTTTATTTCCGGTGCTCAGGGCAGGTGAAATGGCTTATCGTGGGTTGGCTTCTGTCAAAAGCTGGCAGAGATGTCCAAGGTCTCCCACAGAGCCCAACAAAGACTCCACACCTCTGTCCGAACTTCCGGGCCCGCTGGCCTCTCGGTTCATTATCTTTTATCAACACTGCAGTTGCAGTGTCTCCCTACCTCACCCCACCTGGTCAACCAGCTGAGGATTCTCTGGGCCGGTGTCTGCTCACCCCTCTCTGCACACGCTGTCATCGGATCCAGGAGTGAGGCGTGCCCATACATCTTTAAGATCTGAGTAGGCCAATGGTGACAATGCCAATAATCAGCTGAACCATTGCCAGTGACCGTCTGGGCTGCTGGGCCGATGCCAGCAACGCAGCTGGGCAGGCAATCTGCGTCAGCGATTTTATCAGCCCGGGCTGTAGCAACCAGGAGGGCTGCAGAGAAGGCTGGCCGTCAGCAGACCTGGGGAGAGGGCCCGGGCACTCAGCCGCAAGGCAGCACATGGCTCCCGGGGCAGGGCGGGGCGGGGGGGGGGGAGCCGAATGGGGCCACAGCGGTGGGCCTGCAGGAACCCGCTGTGTGAGACGGAGCCTGCACAACCCAGTGTCCTGGTAGAGTAGAGAAACCCTGCTGCTGAGACCCGCTGGGCCGCAGAGCCATTTCCTGGCTCTGTTCCTGAGCCCCACAAGGGGCCCTGCTTGATTACAAGGAGCCCCGAGACCCAGCACCAAGCTGGCATATGTACATGGGGAGTCATGCAATCGAGAGTCTTGAGCCAGAGGGACCGCAGGGCCCACCCAGTCCAGCCTTTCCATTTGTGTGGAGATGACCCAGGGCCAGAGAAGGTAGAGAGGGCTTGGGGAAGCGAATGGTTGTGGAGCTCAGACCCGCCGGCCCTGCTTTAAATACGATGCTCTTATGTGAGTTCTTATTTGAAGACTGGAAAAAGAGAGCCTGAAAACCATGGAACTACTCCAACCCCTCACCTTACAGATAAGGAGACAGAGGCTTAGCTATGTCCATAATTGATTCATTCCCTCCCTCAGCCAATCATCTACTCCCTCATTCATTCCGCTGCTCGGTGGTGAGCGGCAGGGAGAACCCAGCCTGTGCCCGGGGCTCCTTACCTTTCCCGCCCTTGGCGCCGTCAGCACTGCTGAAGGAATACTCCGTGTATCCTCACTGGGCACAGGAAGGCCCTCCGGCCTAGGGAGCCAGGAGAGAAGCACAGGTCCTCACACCTGACCTCAGGATGGGGCAAAGACATGGCCATCTCTTCTGTAAAGCCAACAAGGGGCAAAAGCATTCAACAGAAACGTCCTGTGGCCTCATTTCTGGTTGCTATTTTACCACCAGGCGTAGTTAGGCGTCTGCACAGCCCTTGTTCCTCTATTTTACAAGTGCACCAAGAAGCGGATCAACAGAATGTGAATATTATGAAGACAGAGACTCAAGAACTGGGGAGCTTATGACTCTTCACATAACTCTGAAATAGCTATTTATTAGGCATTTGTGTTACCAAGCATTCTGGGCTAAGCATTTAATGTAGGTATATAAAATCTCATTTAATCCTTACATCAGCCTTGTGAAGCAGATCCTATTATCCCTGTTATACAGGTGAGAAAGGTGTACAGGCTCTGAGAGGTCAAGGAGACTAAAGCTACTTGGCTGGTCCTTGCAGATCCAGGGCTCAGACTCACCCAAGTCCTAAAGCATTGTGCCCTCTGCACCCCAATTCAAGTTCAATCCCAGTAAGAAACCCAGTCATCATGGGGATGTTTAAGCCATTCAGTGCACCATCACCGAAATGTCTGACTATATAGGTTGGTTTGTCTTTCCCTGAATTGCCTAAATTTTAGAAAGTTATAGGATTTTGAGAAAGTATTTGGTATCAAATCAACATATCCATAAAGCATTTTAAACTTTTCTTACACTCTCTAGAAATTAGGCATCTTGTTCAATTTCATTAAGCCAGGCTCTAAGCAACTCCATCCTGCCTAGAGGCAGGAAGACCCCTCGGAAGGCAAGGAACCAGAGCGCCATTTAGTCAGTAATTGCTGCTACATGATAATGGTGCCCTTGTGGCCTCCAGAATTGACTGCAGCTTCCAGAAGTGCCTGGCACACAACCAGAAACTGCTGTGGCTCCTTGGAGAACCCAGCTCGATGGGAATCACTGAAAGCGACTGCCTTTAGAGGAGCCGTTATGTAACCACGGAGCAAGCCTTGATTTCCGTTTTGCACACTAGTTCACATAGTGCATTTGTGACGTGTGTGATCCATGTGCGGGGAGCAGGTGTGTGCTGTCTCGTGCCCTGGCGGGAGGGAGTCGCGGTGAGGGGTGATGTACCCTTGCCTTTAATGGAACAAGATCTTCTTGGAGGCCATCTTAGGCGATGGCCTGCTCATGTTAGGGGAGGCCGAGTGAAATCTAAAATGAGGTCATAACTAAGAAAATCTCCAGGTACCCGATAAAGAATTTTTTAAACAAATTAACCCCTGTAATCTTCAAGCTGAAATGTGCACATTTATATTTGCTTGGATATGCGGCGGGGGGAGAGAAATCCACCTGTTCTGCTGGGGTATCGGGTGTGTCATTTTATTGAAGGAGAAAATGCCTGGGTCAGGAACTGCTGTCCTCGATTTAGTCTCTGTCTCATAAGCACCTGGGACGTTCACCTCTCTGGGCTTCAGGCTCTCGGCATATAAAACAGACAGAATATTGCTCACCCATGTCACAGGGCTGCTGGGGGCAACGGATCAGGATAACACAGGCAAAATCTATTGTCCGCTCTTTGCAAGTGTGAGAAGTGGTCATGATGTTATCCACTGCAGAGCAGCGGTTGAGAGCTTGGGCCCTGGAGCCAGACCCCTGGGGTTTAAATCCTGGCTCTGCCCGCTATGAGAGTGCGGCAAGTTTCTTGACCTCTCTGTGCCTGCATTTTTGATCTGGAGAATAACTTAATGAATGGAGCGAAGCAACCTAAACAGTCTCATGGGCCAACTGCCCCAGCCCTGCATCCTGTTCTCTGTGGGCCCAGACAGGGTGAGGAGACCAGGAAGGAGCCCAGCGTCCAGGCAGGGCGTGGTCCTTGGAAGGAGCTGCTCTGTTCTGTGCCTGGCCTGTGCACCACCAGCCGGCACTGAACTCCGGGGCTGCAGAAGGGAAGGTCCCGAGCCCGGGACTGGGAGAAAAATAGAAGGGCTGTGAGTCAGAGACTAAGAGCTAATTAAGCAGGCTAAGTGGAGTCGAGATTGAGCCGGAAGAGGGAACAGAGGAAGGGAGTGTTTCCTGGGGAGACTGGGCTGCGGGGTTTCCAGGTGGGCCTGCGACCCACGGCCTCTGTGCACTGACTGCTTTTTGTTCGCCAGGGCCTCTACCCGCTGCCGTTGCTCAATAGCGCCCTGGACGACGGGAAGGCCACCCTGACCCCTTCCAATACACCCTTGGGGCGCAACCTCTCGACTCATCAGACCTACCCCGTGGTGGCAGGTACGATGCCCGGAATCTCCTGGGCCATGTGGCCCCAGCTGCCAGGATGGGCTGCAGGGCAGAGCTGGCGGATGGAGAGAAGGAAGGTGTTACGGCCCCGGGCCTGGAGGGGAGAGGGGGGCTGTGCTGGCTGGGCCTCCAGGTGGGTCCAGAGGGTCTCGCCTTCCATCCTCGGCCCCCCTCCTCCGCCTGCCCCCCAGCGCGGGGCACACGCAGCCGCGTCTACATTCACAGAGGCACAGCAGGGAGGTAGAGCTGCCCTCCCCTCCTCCCGCGGCCTGAGGGGCACCGCGTAGCCCCGCCCACCTCCCCCTCCACGCCCAGCCTCAGGGAGGAGCCCGCCCACCGGCCCCGCGCCGCCGCACCCCTCCCGCACCTCATGGCTTGGTTTGTGCATGTTCC